GGGGGGCAGCTTCGAACAAAACTAAGGCGCGAGGATTCTTTCAGCACCCAAGGCAAGGCGAGCCGAGCGACCGTCGCGAAGCCGTCGCGAAGCCCATCGACACAGGTACAAAGGAGGAGTTGAAGGTGGCGGGGAGAAGCGGGGGACGGCTGGCTGGCCAGTCGCTCGGCTCACCTTGCCATGCGTGCTGATGCCGGTACCGGGCCGCGGATGATTTTGTGATGCCGGTACCGGGCCGCGGCACAAAAAAGGTTGGGGGCCACTGAACTACGGGTTTGATTAATCAGATGTAAATTTAACATCCGGTTCGCCCAAACCAGTCTGAACCGGCTGAATTTACGTCTATGGAGATTCTCGGTCATGGTTGCGCCAAAGGTGTTTCCCCCCACAAAAAAAGGCAACTGGACTTCGTTTTTCCTCGAAGACTTCTCATCCAAGAAGCTTCTTCAGCTCTGACAGTTCTTCAATTCAGTCAGAACTGAAGAAGCTTAGTTTTGGTTTACTTTATTGTCATTGCACCTCGTACCATGAAATCAAATACCTTCTTCAGTGCACATCATGACCACGAAAATAAACACAAACACACATACTCCACACTCCACACGTTGAACCTAAAACCCCCAACACCACACCCACACTGCACTATGCAGTAGAATTCAAAAGAGCTACTGCTCTGGGATAGAAGCTGTTTTTCAGCCTATTTGTCCTAGTTTTTATTATTATCCTGTACCGTCTGCCAGATGGTAATAGTTCAAAAAAAGGGTGCCCAGGATGAGATGGATCTTTGAGAATGTTTGTAACTTTCTTAAGGCAGTGGGAGCTATAAAGCTCTTCCAAAGAGGGGAGAGGGCAACCCATGATCCTCTGGGCAATGACGTTAACCCTCTGGAGTGCTGTCCTATCTGCCCCTGTGCAACTGGCAAACCAGACACAGGTGCAGTAAGTTAAGATATTCTCTATGGTGCAGAGATAGAAGATCACCAGCAGTTTTTCCCTTCTTGGATGGGAAGGGAAACGTCTTCAAGGAAAAACAAAGTTCAGTTGTCTTTAGAAAAAAGCACCTTAGAAGCATTGTGGCCTTCAACTCCCAGGAAGCTGGCTGGGGCATTTTGGGAATTGAAGCCTACACATTATAGAGTTGCTAAGGTTGAGAAACCTCAAGTAATTTTAGCAATCAGTGGACGGAACGTATGGATTGCAAAGCATGAGAGAGAAAGGACAGATTAGAACATTTTGTGCTGTACAAGGGTGTCCCTCAAACTTTGAGAAATTCCATGGGAACAAACTTTCATGAACAAGAGGAAATGTACTTTTTTTTGGATGTTGTGTCACGCATCCATTTGCAAAAGAGGATTTGAGATTAATTTGTACCCGGAACAGCTGTTGACCAATGCTTACCCATGATGTTGTAACTCTTAGTGTTTCCTACCGTGGAATAGGATTTTATACGTTAATCATACAAAGGGAAGGGCCCCCCCAAACCGTGGGGCTTGCACTATTTACAAACTATTTACAAACCACTCCATGCATCTGATTGCAGTGAGCTGCATTTCACAAAGTTTCTGCCTTTGTATAAAATATAGCCGTCGCAAAAGAGGATACCAGACTTCTGATGTTGGGCTATTCTAGATCAGGGGTCTCCAACCTTGGCGACTTTAAGCTTGGCGGACTTCAACTCCCAGAAGCCAGCTTTGCTGGCTGGAAAATTGTGGGAGTTGAAGTCCGCCAGGCTTAAAGTTGCCAAGGTTGGAGACCCCTGTCCTAGATCACACTGCCTGGGGAATTCTGGGAGTTGAAGTCCATGCATCTTAAAGTCACTGAGGTTGTGAAACACTGGCCTAGGATAACACACTACTGACAAACACTATTTACAGTACCAGTAATCCTTAACTTACGGCCACAGTTGAGCCCAAAATTTCCATTGCTAAGAAAAAGGCAGTGGTTGGATAAACTTTGGCTCCATTTTATGACCTTTTTGTCCCCGTTGTTAAGCAAATCACTGCAGTTGTTAAGTGAACCATGCAGTCATGAGGTAAATCAGGCTCCCTTTCCTTTTAAGAAGTCAGCTGACAAGGTTACAAATGGTGACCACGTGACTTCAGAACACTGCAACCACCGTAAATACGTGCCGCTTGCCAAGCGCCCACATTATGATCACGTGACCATGGGGATCCTGCAATGGTCACAAGTGTGAAAAAGGTCATAAGTCACTTTTTCTAATGCTGTTCTCACTTTGAATGGTCACTAAACAAATGGATGTAAGTTAAGGACTATAGGTACATAATGGCCAATTAAACCCAGCTAGATTGTTTTGGCTGGAGATGTCCGTAGTTTGCTCACAATCAGGAGGCTGTGAGTTCAATCCTAAATAGCGGCAGATATTTCTCACTCTGGGCATAATGAGAATATATCTGCTGCCAACTCTGCATTGGTGACAGGAAGGGCATCCGGTCAGTAAACACTCAGCTCCATTCAGTTGCCTCGACTCCACCCCAATGCAAGGGATTATGGGATCATTAAAAGAAAAATATATATACATAGTTCGCTTCAGGGGAGGTATTCAGCAGGTTCTGACCAGTTCTGGAGAGTAGCAGAAATCTTGAGTAGTTTGGAGAACAGGCAAATCCCACCTCTGACTGGCCCTGCTCCCATCTCTTCTCTGCCTCCCATTGAGTCCCAACTGATCGGCTAGGTCTTCTTCAGTTGCCCTGCACAGGAGAACAGGGCTGGAAAGCAGGTTAGTGAGGTGGGGAGGGAATGGGGATTTTGCAGTAACCTTCCCCTGCCATGCCCACTAAACCACGCCCACCAAACCATACCACGCCCACCAAGCCACGCCCACAGAACTGGTAGTAAAAATATGTGAATCCCACCACTGGTTTGCTTCTAATCACTCCAGCATTAGCTATTTTACCCATGCAATGACAGGACTTAGGTAGGCGTTTAGGCAAACTTTAAATCCTGAATGACACATCCATGATCATTAGTTCATTTTCACAAGACAATTGTCTTCTGGATAATTTCCTTGAAGAGTTTTTGCACATTCTATTCACTAATGCATAAAAAATACTGGGATCAATGCATCTTTTTTAAAAAAAATGTTATTCTCTCACTTTTGTGATAGCTGTTACTGGAATATTGACAAAAGATTTAAAAACTGGACTTGTTTTCTGTTCTCGTTTAACAGAGAAAATTTGCTTTTCGTCTCTAGAAAAGCAATGGACATAACAGTGTTTTTCAAACTTGGCAACTTAAAAGACGAGTGGACTTCAACTCCCATAATGCCCCAGGCAGCCTAGGCATTCTGTGAGTTGAAGTCTGCAGATTTATTTATTTTATTTATTTATTTATTTGATTTGTCAATTGTTTCCAAGATAATAAGTATAAGTGTATACATAGTTGTGAATAAATGAAATGGGTACATATAAGAAAAATAAAAGAATAGAGAAACAATAGGACAGGGACGGTAGGCACGTTGGTGCGCTTATGCACGCCCCCTACAGACCTCTTAGGAAAGGGGTGAGGTCAATGGTAGACAGTCTAAGGTTAAAGTTTTTGGGGTTTGGGGAAGAGACTACAGAGTCGGGTAGAGTATTCCAGACATTGACCACTCTATTGCTGAAGTCGTATTTCCTGCAATCAAGTTTGGTGCGGTTTACTTTGAGTTTGTATCTATTGTGTGCTCTTGTGTTGTTATGGTTGAAGCTGAAGTATTCATTGACAGGTAGGACATTGCAATGTATGATTTTATATACCATGCTTAAGTCAGACCGAAGACGGCGTAATTCAAGGTTTTCTAGTTCTAGAATTTCAAGTCTGGTGGCATAAGGTATTCTACAACGAGTAGAAGAGTGGAGAACTCTTCTTGTGAAATATTTCTGGACTTTCTCAATTGTGCTAATATCAGATATGTAATGTGGGTTCCAGACTGATGAGCTGTATTCGAGTATTGGTTTAGCAAATGTTTTGTATGCTCTGGTTAGTAGTGTGATATTACCAGAGAAAAAGCTACGTAGGATTAGGTTAACAACTCTTAATGCCTAGATGCTGACTGGGGCATTCTGGGAAGCGAAGTGCAACATTTCCAATTATGAAAATCAACTTGGATAAAACAATATAGTACTGTACTGTACAATTGAGAAATCATGAAAAAAAAATCTGAAAAGGATCCCGGAATTTTAGGATCTGCATGTCTCTTCTTTGACATATATCTATGGTCTTCTAGTTATCACTATGGATGCAAGGATGACAATTCTCACTAAATTTTCTAGCTTGCATTGCAGACGCCATTATGGACTAAGTGTTTTCAGAAGCTTGAAATATAAAGAACTGCAAATAAGAGTGATTGAATGGACGCATATTTAAAATATTAAGGAATTACCGAAATCACTAAGTGTGTTAATAATCCCTATATCTCTACAGCCTCTTTTTCCCATCAACCAACGCGAGAGAAGCTTCCCAGCAACCTTTGGCCCCAACTCAATGGCGGGGTCTGAACACCGCTTAAGGGTAGGCGAGAGTTCTATTTCCCGTCGTGCCTTGCGCACTAGGGCCAAAAAAAAAAAAAAAAAACCCCCTAAAATCCCCCGACCTGCCCTGCGCAGGTCTCCCATGCCGCGGGGCTACGCGCATGTCTCAAAGACGATTCCGCCCCCCCACCCAACGGCGAAAGAATCAGGGCGTGTAGGCGGAGAAAAACTCCATTTCCCAGCATGCCTTATTAAGCGCTCGTTCACTTTCTCTCTCTCTCCTCTGGAATGAAGGGAGACAAAATTCCATTGAATCTTTTTCTCCTCCTCTCTCTCTCTCCTACGGAGCGTTAACGCAACGACTTTAAAAAAAACCGCAGAAAGGCGAAGAAGAAGGTCGGAGAAACGCCTCAGAAAGAGGGGAGGAGGAGGAGGAGAAGAGCCTCCGTCTCCCACCATGCCTTGCGCCGGAGAGGAAGGCGGTTGAGGGGAGGCGCGTGACCACCTCCCCGTTTCCCAGAGGGCCTCGCGCGGAGGAGGAGGAGGAGGCGGCGCCAGGCCGGCGGACTCCACTTCCCGGCGTGCTCCGCGCCCCTTCTCCGGCTGAGGTGTTTCTTCTCGTCCCTTCGCGCCCGGGAGCCGCCGCCGCCGTCATGCTGGAAGAGGCCGGCGAGGAAGTGCTGGGCTCGGTGCTGCTGAAGGCCTCGTGCCTGCCGCTCAGCTTCCTGCTGGTGCTGCCCGCCGTCCTGCTGTTGCTGCTGGGCCCGCCGCCGGCTTCGGCCGCCCACGAGTTCACCGTCTACCGCATGCAGCAGTATGAGCTCGGGGGCCAGCCCTACGGTCAGTGAGTGAGGCGGGGGGGGACGACGACTTCCCGTCCCTCTTCAGGACACCACCACACACCTCAACCAAGCGCCGGACTCCAGCTCCCATCCGCCGCCACCGGGGCTGGGGACGATGGGAGTTGGAATCCAGCCCCCGCCTGTAGGCGGATCCGGGCCCCGAGAAGCCCCCCCCCCCGGGGATGGGATGGAGGCCTGGCTTTCGAGAAGCCTTTTGCAATAAAGATCCCTCGTTTCCCCTCCCTAGCTTCGCCTTGGCTAACGTAACAAGAAGTGGGGGGCAGCAGCTGATCCATGGGCGCCTCCCTTTTCCCCAGCCTGAAGGCACCCTCTCATTTTGATATAGGACACCCCCCTCCATCATAAGCCTTCCAGGAGGTTTCCCTCCTTGGGGCAAATGGCCCTGAAATCCAAAAGAGCTTCATTGGGGACAGCAGCCCCCCAAATAGACCGGCTGGTGGGTGGGGGAGGGATCCTTGGTGCCCTCTGAGCTTGGTTTGATTTCTTGCAGACGTTTCACGACTCAAACGAAGTAACATCATCAGGGTAAGGAAGGGGATGGGGTTTGCAGAGAGGAGGAGAACTGTAGCGCCTTCTGAACTTGAGACGTTTCATAACCCACCTAGGTAACGTCATCCGTGGTAGAAGGGAGTTGGATTTGTGAAGAGGAGGAGGACTGAGCTTGGTTCTTTTCTTGTAGATGTTTCATGACCCACCTAGGTAACCTAATCAGTGCTGGAAGAGTGTGGGATTTACAGGGAGGAGGAGGAGGAGGGCTGTGGGCTGCTTGATGCTCTCTGAGCTTGGTTGTTTTCTTGCTGACGTTTTATTACCCACCTAGGTAACTTCATCAGTGTGGTGGGTGGAGAAGGATGACAATGCCTGTGGGGTCCTTGGTGCTTTTTGAGCTTGGTGGTTTTCTTGCCAAGGTTTAATGACCCACCTAGGTAACATCAGCACTAGAAAAGGGGCGGATTTGGTGGAGAGGATGACTGTGGAGTCGTTGATGCCCTCTGAGCTCGGTTGTTTCCTTGCAGACGTTTCATGACCAACCTAGGTAACATCAGTACTAGTAAGGGATTGCTGTCATTTTATATACTAGTGGCTGGTGGTGTTTCCTAGTTTGGGTCATGAAATGCCTGCAAAAAAAAAAAAAAAAAACCAAGCTCAGAGAGCACCAAAGACCCCACAGTCATCGTCCTCCACCACCAAATCCACTCTCCCTTCTAGCATTGGTGATGTTGTCTAGTTTGGGTCATGAAATGCCTGCAAGAAAACAAGCTCAAAGAGCACCAAAGAACCCCACATTCCTCCTCTTTAAGGCTAGTAGAAGGCAGACATTTCATGACCCAAACCAGTTGTCATCACACAATTATTTTACTTAATTGGAGTAAGGAAACATCTGTAAGAAAACAACTAAGCTCAAAGAAGACCAAGGACCCCTCATTTCAGCCCCGAGTTACGAATATTCTCCTTTATGGGTGTGGGTCTGCCAAGGAGCCCTCGGGGAAGGGAGAGGAGTGGAGGGGCAAGTATGACACAGCTGTTTACCTCATCTGGGTTTATCTGGCTGGGTCCACCCTTTGGCTGGAATTTCTGCAAAGTCTGGACAAAGGCCCTACCTAATGCAGCCTCATTGACAATGCCGGGATTCAATCTTAGCAACGTAGGAGAGACTGTTTGGTCAATGGACTCCTCTCCTGCACCTTAAGCAGGATTGTCAGAAGTTGGGGGAAATTTGGTATGTGAAGGGTCTGTGTTGAAACCATCTCTCCGTACCCATTCAAAAAATCCAGGTGCCCTTGAAGCTATGATACGACCTGGATTTTTTTTTCTCTTATTGAAATTTCTTTCATTGTTGGAATGTCTGTCTCTGCTCTTCTATTGGAATCTTATTCCCCCCACCCCATAATTTTGTAAAGCATTTATCTTATTTACAGAGAGCTTGCTGTTTTGGGATGAGTCAGAGAGGCAAAAGCACTAAGTAATCCTGGCCTGTTGTAAAAATTGATTGTTTAGTGCAGCAAGTCATTTTTGACTCCTCGCCACCATATAGATTTGTAGTAGAATAAAATGGGCATAAAATAGAGGTAGTCCTCAACGTATGACCACAGTTGAACACAAATATTCTGTTGCTAAGCAAGATAGTTAAATTACTTTTGTCCCATTTTATGACCTCTCTTGCCGTGGTTTTTAAGTGAATCCCTGCAGTTGTTAAGTTAGTAACGCAGTTGTTAAGTGAATCCGGCTTCCCTATTGACTTTGCTTATCAGAAGGTTGCAGAAGGAGATCACGTGATCCCGGAGAGATTGCAACCGTCATAAATACGAGCCGGTTGCCAACTGTCCAAATCTTGATTATGTGACCATGGGGATGCTGCAGCGGTCGTAAGTGTGAAAAACAGCTCTTAAGTCCCTTTTTTCAGTGCTGTTGTAATGGTCTCTAAGCAAATGGTTATAAATAGAGGGCTACCTTTACGCCAAAGTAGCTACCTAAGTTTAAAGCAAGAACAGCAGAGTAACTTAAAGTAGCTTCTTACTACAGGGAGAGACAGCTAGCCTGAGAAAGTATTCTAATATTAAGAAATGGCTCTACTTCAGTAGTGGGATGTTGCAACAGTGCATTACGCTGTGATGTAATTCAACGTTCTTGTAGCATTGCATAGGGGAGATGAAGGCGGCTGCGCACAAGCTACAATTATGGCGCGTTGTGTCCTCAAATATTCCCTTTTGCAGACTCTCTGTCAGATCCTTGTCCATGTAGGTAGTCCTCGATTTACAACATAATTGAGCCTGAAATTACAATTGTAAGTCATGCCAGTCATTAAGCGAGTCATCATATGACCGTGACCGATTTTACAATTTTTTTTTTTGTAGTGGTTATTAAGCGAACGCAATGGCTGTAAGCAGATCCTTCGTCTGCCATGCATGTCCCAAAGGTGCTTCAGTTCTGAAGAAGCGAAACGTCTTGAAAGAAAAGCCAGAAAGTCCAGTTTGCCTCTCTGGGTGCAGTTTCCTGACTGGGAATCTCCATAGTCATGCATGTTTTTGGCTGGAAACTGGCACTAAACTCTGGTTTCCAGCCAAAATGTGGTACACTTTTGATCACGTAACTGAGGGAGACTGCAAGAAGAATAGTTCCTGGAATTGGGTATGTCTAGTTTAATGAAAAGAAGGGCTAGGGGTGACATCATGGCAGTGTTCCGATATCTCAGGAATTGCCACAAAGAAGAAGGGTGGGGTGGGGTCAACCAGTGGGACAACTTGCCTCCAAAAGTTGTGAATGCTCCAACACTGGAAGTTTTTAAGAAGAGATTGGACAACCATTTGTCTGAAGTGGTATATAGGGCAGCGATGGCTAACCTTTTCGTCGTTGGCATGTTGAAAGTGAGCACACGTGTGTGCCTGCACCCATAATACAATGTACGCAAAACCTACCCGCGCATGCGTGTGCATCTCCCCCCGTGCATGCGCAGCTGATACCCAGCAATCAGCTGACAGGGAGTGTGTGCGCATGTGCAGTGGATCAGTTCCAGGCTGGCCAAAAGGGCTCTGCGTGCCACTTCCAGCATGTGTGCCATAGGTTTGCCCTCATGGGTATAGGGCCTCCTGCCTGAGCAGGGGGTTCGACTGGAAGACCTCCAAGGTCCCTTCCAACTCTGTTATTCTATATTCTGTATTCTAAATGGCTGTAAATGCTGGGTGGTTGCTTAGTCCCTCATAACTGAATGGTTGCTGAGCCTCCCAAAGACTTAAGGAGTATTAAGGAGCTTCAAAACTCGGGTAGAAAACAATTTCTTAAAATAATTGCCCAGGGCTGTTCTTTATCTCTGCCTGTGGTTTACTACCTGTTATTAAAGGCTATCATAACACTGCTTTAATCTATGGCCCAGCCCAGTACAGCGGTGGTTTGTGTAACTAATTCTCTGTAGTAATTTAAAAGCCATATTTCCTCACTGCTGTTATAAGCTGCCCTGCAAACGCACATCACAATACCCCATTGACAGTCTTGGTAATGTAGGTAGTCCTCAACTTTCAACAGTTCATTTAGTGACCGTTCAAAGTTACAACAGCAATGGAAACAGTGACCTGGGACCATTTTTCACACTTCCAACTATTGCAGCATCCCCAGAGTCACACCACAAAATTTCAGAGGCATGTCAACTGGTTCATATTTATGACAGTCTCAGGGTACACGTGATCACCTTTTGCGACCTGACAAGCCAAGTCATTGAGGAAACCGGATTCACTTAACAACCGTGTTACTAACTTAACGGCACTGATTCCCTTAACTGTGGCAAGAAAGGTTGTAAAATGGGGGAAAACTCACTTAAGTGTCTCGTTTAATGACAAATTTTGGACTCAACCGTGGTTGTAAGTCGAGGACTATCTGTTACTTATTCAGGAGTGGGATCTGCCCAGTTTCTGTTGGACACTTCAGATTGGCGTGGGGCATATGTTACACCTTCCAATCTCTTGCAGTGCATTCTGCGCCCATTTAATCTCATATGAGAAGAAAGGCCAGAAATTCTGGCCCTTTCTGAATGGCTCTTCCGGTATGTGGGTTTCTTATTAACACAGGAATACCGCTGTTTGAAAAAGTACACCTGGCATTTATTAAACGTGCCGGCTTACAGGCATTCAATTACATGAAACACTAAAGCAGTAAATAAGCATCATAAATATAAAATTCGATTAAAGCTAACCAGAATGCAGAGTGGGGGATCAAAGTGCACGCAGGAAGGAGGCAGACTCAGTCCTATGCTCTTTCAGTCACCTCCAAAGTGCCACATCCCCATTTGGGGGGGGGGGGGGGCTTAAAAAAAGTATACTTTCAGATCTGTGTGCCTGGCTGTTAATAAACTGGACAAATTGAAAGTAACATGAGCTGTAATATCAAATCTAGTGGAAGAAAAGGTGCCATATTCTCACTCCCTCTCTCAGTTGCTGTAATAAATGTGGGAAATCTCTAAAGATCTCCTCCTCCCCAATTAAAATCTGTTAATGAGCTCCTCCCTCCAGTAGTTTGGATTCCAAAGGGAAAAGGGAGGAGATAATATATATGTTGAAATGCAGAAAAACAACGTAAACACACACATACCATGCCTAACTTATATACCTTGTCAGTGCTGCCTAGTTTTCATTTTTCCCTCTTTTCAAAAGCAGTATTTAGGTTTTTTTCATGCTGAAATTTATTTAGATACCACCTGGAGGTGTCTCTACCACCTCGCCTGATTTTTTCCTAGTTCACCTCTGCTGTTCTGTGTGTGTCAGCCAGTTTGTGATAGCTCTTCAACACAGTTTTAGCACTGTTGAGAACAGAACAATTCTGAGGTGCTTTTTCTTTTCTTTTTTCTTTTAAACAGTTTATTAGTTTTTACAATTAAAAACAACCAACGATACATACACAAATAAACGAGAGAGAAAAAAAAGAAGGAAGAAAAGAAAGAAAAGAAAAGATTGAAAAGAAAGAAAAAAGAAAGAAAAAGAAGGAAGAAAAGTTAAAAGCATTCTTATTTTTACAGTTTGCAAGATCTTTTTTTTCCATAGCCTTTGATTTATGTCATATACACACACCTATTCTATACATATATCGCTATCTCATTATTATAGGCTAATACTTTCCTGAGGTGCTTTTTCAAGAGGCAACTGGACTTTCTGGTTTTTCTTTGAAGACATTTCGCTTCTCACCCAAGAAGCTTTTTCAGCTGAAATAACTGAAATAGCTACTTCATATCCTCTGTTAGTTGGGCTCTCTTTTAACGCATCCTTCAAAACACTCACGTAAGCAGATAGGACTGATCCAGCCACACCCTTGTTAAGGAGTAACAGAGTTGGAAGGGACCTTGGAGGTCCTTTAGTCCAGCCCCCTGCTCAAATTGGGAGACCCTATATCATTTTAGACAAACGGCTGTCCAGTCTCTTCTTAAAAACCTCCAGTGACGGAGCAGCCACAACATCTGAAGGCAAGCTGTTCCACTGGTTAATTGTCCTCACTATTAGGAAATTTCTCCTTAATTCCAGGTTGCTTCCTCTCTCCTGGATTAGTTTCCATCCATTGTTTCTTGTCCTGCCTTCAGGGGCTTTGGAAATTAAGCTGACCCCCCTCCACTTTGTGGCAGCCCCTCAAATATTGGAACACTGTCAGCCTTATGGGAAGAAAGATACAATTTTTTTCCTGCAGGTTGGTGGCATATGTTAGACAAAAAGATGGTACCACTTCCTGATTTTAAAACCAAGAGAAAGTAAAACCACAGCATTGAGGACAGTGTCAATGTTAGCCCTTCAAGGCCCTTCAGACAAGAAATGTGACCCTGAAAATGAGCTGTGTCCCTACAGATCTCCCAACCACCATTCAGCCCAAAACTTGCTAAATAAGGCAGTTGAAAAGTATGTTGCCTAATGCAGGGGTCTCCAACCTTGGCAACTTTAAGACTTGTGGACTTCAACTCCCAGAATTCCTCAGCCAGC